TTTTTCTCCCATTGGGTTTTTCTTGGTGAGGTTTTTAACGAGGCAATAATTGTTGTAATTTCTTATTTTATTTTTTGATAAATGAATAAGTCTAATTTTTCTTATATTACAATTTTATTGTATTAAAATTGAATTAATATTTGAAATGTTAACAAAAAAAAAAAATTTGAATTGAATTGAATTATTGATATTTGAAAAGTTAAATTAAAAAAAAAAAAAAACAAGAAAATCGGGCTAACCCGGCCCGAACCGCCACTAACCCGGCAGGTTAGGGTTGGCAGGCCGGGCTGGGCCAGCCATTTTCTCCATAATGGCGGGCCTAACCCGACTTGCCTTTGTTGGCAGGCGGGTTAGGCCCGGCCCGCCAAAGAACGTAACCCGCCGAGGGTCGGGCCGGGCGGGTCAATTTTCCACCTTTAGATGTAATAGTGTTTTACACCAAAATTTACGCCAATTTGGTGCAATTTATGGGTTGGAGATGGTCTTAGTACCATTATCAGCATCAACTTTATAAATATTTTCACAATACTTACATTTTGCTTTCTTCACTTGAACTTCATTTTTTGTCTCGCAAAACTTTACGAAATGCATCCAAACGTTTGATGTGTGCTTATCATCGATTCTGATAGCTGCAGTTGATTAACCCACTTCTACTTTAGATAGAGTTGGACGAGAACGACGAGAACAATCTCTAGAACCATTGGGAGTTGTAGCAGCATGGGGAGGAAGAGGAAAATATTATGAGGTGTACCAGATTATGAGAATGGGATAGTGAGACTATTTGAATATACTACAATTGTGTTAGTAAATTTAGGGGGAGTAGAATAATTTTCTTTCATTATCGAAATTGATGATGTCATTATGTAAATATCTATCAATTATAGTTACTAAAAAAAAAAATTGGATATAAAAGAATTAAAAAAGGAGAATTGGAATTTTAAAATATGAATTGAAAATTGCAGAAAATAATAAAAATTAAAATGAGAGCAAATTGACAATTGAGATATGAGAGATTTTTAGAGCAAGAGCAATTGAAGAAAATGAGAAAATTTCAAATGTAAGGAACTATGAGAAGTTTAAACTCCATTTATAGAAAAAAAATGGGAAAAGAAAATGATTAAAACAGCTATAAAACTATATTTGAAAGGTAAAATTGGTTTTTGAAAAAAAAAAATTTTATTTTTTTAATTTTTTGTCGCCAACTTGGGCTGGCGTTGGCAACCTGCGGGCCAAAGAGATATATTATTTTTTTAATTTTTTATTGCCAACCCGTCCGCCTGGCTGTTGGCAGCCTGCGGGCCAACCTCATCGGATCCGACAGAGTTAAAAAACCCGTTGGGCTACCGGGCTGCCTAGACGACCTAACCCGCCCGACTGGGGATACCCGAGCCTGACCCAAACCAACCCGGCTTAAAGACGGGCAGCGTTCAGGCTGACCCGCCTAACCCGGCCCATTTTTTTCCACCTCTAAGGCCCGATGAGACGCTGTAGTATCAAGAGTGAGAGCAGAAGAGTAGGTGTTTGTTTCAGAGTTTCTATGCTGATGAAGAACAACTTACTGCTTGTTGCGGTGATTCTCGCTCTAGCATCCTCAGTCGTTGATTGTCAACCAAACGACGTTGTAGAATGGCAGATTCTCACAAAGCTAAACTTCTCTTCTCAGATCCGACTTCATCCTCACCTCCTCCTCCTAGTCACTGTTCCATGTACTCCCTTATAACTTCAACTTCAACTAATCGAATTTACATCGTTTACTAACTTCTTCAACTTCTTTTTCCTTAAAGTAGAATTGTGTACTTTGAATTTCGGTAGATACTTGTGTCTCGACTAATTGATGATCGTTTCTTTTGTGTAAAACAATGAAATTTCATTATAATCCATTTTTAATGAAATTTTGTTAAAATTTTACACTGACAGGGTCTGGTGAGTGTCGATCACTTATGAAAGAAGTGGAAAATTTGGTTAGTTCTAGGAAAAATGAGTTCGGTTTGCTCAAGTTGATGATTTTGTATCGAAACTCCGAGAAGATGCTGGCAGATGCTATCGGTGCTACAGAAAGCATAACGGTTTTATACTATCACCATTCTGTATCTTACAAATATCGAGGAATACTTCGAGCACAGAATATTTTATCCTCTATTTATCCCTATATGTCCATTTTACCTGAAGAACTTCCGCTCAAATCCCTCCATTCTCAGGAGGACTTGAAAGAGTTTCTTGAATCAACTGATAAAGCTCTAATTCTGTTTGAATTTTGTGGATGGGCTCCTAAATTGCTTGCCAGAAAGAAGAATAACGGTACTGAAAGTGGAGGTGCGTCAATCATTCTTTTGTTAACCTAGGCTAACTTCATTTGTTTTAGATGTTTCTATAAACTAAATTTATGGATTTTTTGAAGTTTAAATTGAAATTAGTTTTCATAAAGACCTGGTTTAGGTATGGTTGTGCTGAGGCAAATATTTATAAGTGGATGGTGTCTATGTTGTTTCTATATGTTATATCTTGCCATGTTTTTAGTGCTTAGCCTAAGTGAATGAAGCTGTCGAGGTCCTATAATCTCTTTAGAATTCAATTTTTTATTTATTGAAGTTATAAAAGTTCTACTCTCGAGGTCCTGCGGTTTCTTTATGCTTCAACGCATTAAGGAGATTGGCAGAATATAAGAACAGGAGTTATTTGAAGAAGTTTATTGCATGTTTGCTTCCTTGTTTTTTAAACAGTTTTCTGGTCTCAATATCAGGTTTTTATTTTCTTGATTAGAAATTTTGTTTGATTAACTGTTCCAGACATAGTTTTTTGCTTTGCTTTTTTTTTTTTTTTTTTTCAGTGTTCTTGGAAACTAGTTTGTATGGTCTCATAAAATATTACCTTCATTTGTTTTCTTATTGAAAAGACATCTGCAGTTTATATGAATCTGGTACAAAAGATGCTGGCGTCATTATTTGTATATTATTTTACAATAACAATTGTCCAAATTAACAATGGTTTTGAATACACACAAATAACTGATTTGTTCTCATTTTGATAAACATGTTTTGGGCATTAAAAACTTAAAATGCTGCCAAGCATGATTTGTTTATCTAGTTACTTAAATACTTATAAGGGAAAAGATATAATATTTGAGCTAGTGTATGCCATGTGAATTATTTTGCTTATATATGTTTTTCCTTGCTGCCTGTTTTTTTCTGCTTAGTGCCATCCATTTGAAGTAAATTTTTCCATGATTTATTTCATGATTTATATCATCATATACTTTCTTCACTGCATTCGGCTAGCAACCTCTGCAATAAATAATTCTTCCTGCAAGTCAGTAGTAATTAAAATTCGCATGAGTTATGATTCCTTTGTAGGTTCGCATGTGTTATGCACGATTGAGTAGTTAACTTTTACATCAATCATCCAAAACAAAACTTTTTTTCTAGGGGATCACTTTGGGCGAAGCTTTGGTATAGATACAGAAGGAACACAAATATCAAGAGGGAATGATAACGAGAAGGTGGCTGGTAGTCTCTTATTGCATTATTAGGAAGCTAATGATTATTGATTGAAGAACTTGCTGGACAAATAAGTTAATATTCCTATTATTGGAAATACAGGACACAGAAAATGGGAAGCTGAAGTGCAGTATCGGTAATGGGTTTAGTGGAATCCCTTGGCTCACTGAATTTGGCTTAGTGAACAAAAGTGATCCTTTCAAGGAGACTGAGAATATGACGTCTGGTGGTCAATTGTCCTGTAACTATACAGAGTTTCAGCGATTTGATTCATTTTTCTCAAAATTTATTACTGTTGCCAGAGAATTCTTCCTGCCTCCTGAAAAGCATAGATTTGGCCTGGTTTCAGAAAGGTCTTTACTTCAATATCTTGAAATCAGAGATTCTGATTCATGGTTTGCAACACTTTACTTAGCTGGTTATCCCAGTTGTTCAAAGATTTTCAAAGAGGAGAATGACCTTAAGAGTATTCTACAGATGAATAATGAAATTGTTGCAGAGGTAACACATATTTTCTGCACTTATTTTTATTTATTTATTTTTATGTCCAGTATGAAGTTTTCTTACATCATGTTCTCTTGAGCCCCAAGTCCTATTTGACTTTAGCCTTTTGAGATGCATGACTTGGTAAAGTTCCCAACTGTGAGTTGGGAATATTATGAGTTAGCTTGGCCAGGAATGACTCCTATAATAGTTTCTTTAATAACATTTTAATACAGACCATAGATAATCTCACTTTCTTTGGTGAGATCACTTTGTGATTTTAGTAGCGTGCTACATTATTTTATAAATTATTGTTTTTTATTTAATTATATGTCTGATCATCAATATGAACTTTTATGACCACAATAGGAGCTTCATAATATTTCTATCTCTTTTCTTATCTTTTCTCATTGCCTTCCAATTATTGTCATTTGCCAATATAGCTTGTTTTTCTTTATAAATGATTGATATAAATATCTTTCATGTCATGTAGTTAGATGGTGATGGGCAGGATCTTGACATTGTTTTACCCGCAAATAAGCCATCAATTCTTCTGTTTGTGGATAGATTGTCTGACTCCTCAGAAACTAGTAGAAAGAGTAAGGAAGCTTTGCATACTTTTAGAGAACTGGCGTTGCACTATATGATTCCTTACCAAACTGGCTGGCAGAAACAGCCAGGGGAACCTCCTGTTCGATCTAATCAAGCTTTGGGTAGTACATCTGGACATCCTGTCTTAAAGCTATCTCCAAAAGCTCAGAAGATTAGTTTAAAGGATAAGATGTCCATCATGATTATAGATGAGGGTAAACCTGTCACTTTAGATAACATAGCTCCAGATTTGCAAGGGAATTCCTTGCACGAGATCTTGGAGTACCTTATTCAAAAAAAGAAGCAAGCAAAATTTAGCTCACTTGCAAAAGAGGCAGGCTTCCATCTTTTATCTGATGATTTTGATGTCAAAATAGCTGATGCATTATCATCATTAACAACAGCATCAGGGGAAGGCCTTACTACAGTAGTTGATGGTCCAGACAAAGATCAGTTAACACAAGGCACTAGTATATCTGCCGTGGAACGTGAAGAAAACTCCAAAGGCACAGATGTTGTAGATGATGAAGGAAAAACTACTTCTTTTGATACAAAAGAACAGTTGATATCTGAAGAACCTGACCAACATCTTCCAGGTCATTATTTGACTAGTGATAAAGATGTCAAGGTTGAAGAAAAAAGCTCTTCACAGGTATACAAGTTGGCGGAATCACCTTACTTTCAAAGTTTCAGGGGTTCCTTTTTCTTTTGTGATGGTAACTATAGATTTCTTAGAGCTTTGACTGGTGGGTCAACTATTCCATCATTGGTAATAGTTGATCCCTCACTACAGCAACATTATGTCTTCCCCAAAGAGACAAGTTTCAGCTATTCTTCACTAGATGGTTTTCTTCATGGATTTCTCAATGGCAGTCTTCTTCCATATAGATGCTCTGAGTCTATTATTCAAAGCTCTAGGGAGGCCACTCAACCACCATTTGTCAATATGGATTTTCATGAAGTGGACTCTATTCCTCGAGTTACAACCCGTACTTTCTCTGAATTGGTTCTTGGTTTAAATCAATCTGAGAATGAAAATGCTTCGCATGCCTGCAATGAGGATGTCTTGGTCCTTTTTAGTGGTGGATGGTGCGGGTTTTGCCAGAGAATGGAGCTGGTTGTTCGTGAAGTTTACCGAGCAATAACGGGCTACATGAAAATGTTGAAGAATGGATATAGGAATGGGCAAAAAGGTTTTAGCGGTGGTAAGTGCTTAGTTTTTGTTTTTTCAATCTTTTGTTCCTCTTTATGTTTTGTATGAATTACAAAATATAGTTTTCGAAGTGCTTTGATCTTTTACTGCTTCAAATAAAAAAATTTCTTCTAAAGTTAATTAGACTAGTTGGTTGACTAGGTAATTTGGATACTAATGATTTGTTATCAGACAAATACCATTGTTATATTATGTATACATTTTGCGCTGGATATAAAGTGAGAGATTTTGAAATGAGGAGATAACTTCGTTTAAATATTTAAGTTTTGATCAAGGTTATATTTGTGACAGACAACTTGAAGAATGTAATGTTTAGGTCTCCACGGATCTACCTAATGGATTGTGCATTGAATGATTGCAGTTCCATCTTAAAGTCAATAGCTCAGGTACTTAATCTGGAACCAATTCTTATTTCATCACGCATAACATATGGTAATGGTTTGTTCCTTAGTGGGTGATAACTGGTACCAATGATAATAGTTGCTCTTTAATGAAGACGAACTTCCTATCATTAAAGTTTGAAGCATAATTTTGTATAGTTGTTGACATGAATGGAATGATTGCAGTTCCATCTTAAAGACAATAGCTCAGGTGCTTATTCTGGAACCAATTCTTATTTTATCACGCATAAAATATGGTAATGGTTTGTTCCTTAGTGGGTGATAACTGGTACCAGATGATAATGATTGCTTTTTAATTATGATGAACTTCCTATCATTAAAGTTTGGAGCGTAATTTTGTATAGTTGTTGACATGAATGGAATGAAAGGTTTCCAATCTCTCTCTCTCCCTTTCTTTCTTGTACTACTTTTTTATTGTTCTAACCCAATATTAGGAGATTTGGGAAGGAGACAAAAACTTGCAGTGTAGATTCTCTTCATGTAGAATTATTCCTTGAAGTTGGATATTTTTGTTATTCTCTTTGCAGAGAGGCCGTCTTTAGTCCTTTCTTCGCCCCACTTTGGTAGATCTCCTTTTTATGCCCTTGTTTGGGCTGTGTTTTGCCTCACTTTTTCCTTCACCAGTCTTGGCTCCTTTCACAAATATTTTATGTTCACTGAGTCATATGCCTTTGCAGAGCATTTTCACCTTTCCGTTTTTGCATGAGGTTTTTCTGGACAGTACTGATTTAAGTTTGATTTATAGATACTTCAGTCAATAAATTTGTTTGACTTCTCCACTCTTAAACCTACTTTTTTCTATATTTGGATATCTGCATACTAGACCCTACAAACTCTTTAGTTGCATGCCAGTTATTTATGTTGTGCAATAAATTATATTTAATTTGAATGGCATGCAGTTCAGAGCAATTATTCCAACAAATTTTTTCGTGTGTTATCAGTTTGTTTAATTATCTCCCTTTTTCTTTTATGGGGGTATGTTTGGAATATGCAGAGGGATGTTTATCCTGCTCTGCTGTTATTTCCTGCGGAAAGGAAAGATGCTATTTCTTACGATGGAGATATAGCTGTAGCCGATGTTATCAAGTTTATAGCTGATCATGGAAATAATTCACATCATCTTATCAGTGACAAGGGTGAGATTTTATCAAGCAACATCTTATAGCACACTATTGATTCTTACAGTTCAATTGAACTAGCTGCATTGAATTGATAGACTTTGATACTGCACTGATTTGAACAATTGATCATGGAATTTCTCCACTTCTAGTATTTGCATTTGCTAATGACTATTTTGAATAAGATTCTTTCATATTGTTTGGAATTCCAACTTTTTTCTTTGGTTGTTCAAGTTATGTTTGCTTTCTAGATCTAGAGAATGTTATTGTTTTTCCACCATCGTAGATATAGGTGTTTCTCTTCTTAAAACAAAATTCTTCCTTTGGCATTTTAATCAGTAGAATTTTGCTGATTTTTTATCTTTAGAATATTATTTTTCTTGCCATAGTACTTTGGACGAAGTTTTCATTTGACATTTTAATCATTAGACTTTGTGAAGTTTTCCTATTACGAGTCTGTGTCATCAGTATTTTCATATATTTTTGGTGGATGATTGTTGCTGCATATGTTGAATGATGGTAAAGCAAAGTTAGAAAGCAGTATATGATACATGACATTGTTTTGTG